TTTAAAACATCAAAATGAATGAGGTGAATTTCAGATTTCTCTAAATTAGGTATCATTATTTGCAAAATATAATGCAATTAGAAAATAGGGCACATTTTAAAATGTATTGTTCACTGAATTTAATACAGTTAAATCCAGGAAGCTTATGGGCTCTGCTTTCCAACTGACCAAAAAACGGCCTGATTACTGCATTTTTTCGTGGGAGATATGGAATGAAAGGACTCTGCCTGTGCACAACAGTTCTGTTATTTCCAAGCAGCAGTCTTTTATCTCTGTAAGTCACATATTATTTTCATGATTTCTACTCTTAACTTTTTAACTACTCTCCCCTTTATGATTTATTAAATGTCACTGTGTCAGTTTTAGAATCACAGAAATTAGTGGCAAACTATTTCTGAAGAAAGAGCATACCTTTTGCCCAATGTGGGAAATCCTAGGAGGAAAGCACAAAATGGGATTCTGCTTAAGATGTCTGTAGGGATAAATTTCATATGGTCAAATTGATCTTCCTGATGTTAGAGATGCAAAAATATGACTCATTAGCATCCCAATTTGTACTACCTACATGGAATAAGATAAAATATTTGTGGTGGGGTTTTTTTGCATTCGGGGTGGTTTGGAAGTAGTAAGAGAACAAAATGTGTGCTTCAACCATCTGAAATACCTCTTAAAATATCTCTGGCCCCACACAATTTAGAATGTGAGCCTCAGTGTTTCAACACAAACCTAGTGTAGCTCTCAAGCCAACTGAAGTTGCACAGCCCCAACAGAGGTAGTTGTAAACACCAACTGACCTTTTCATGTCAGATAGGCTCTATCATAGAAGCCTGCCCTCAATTGTTTCTTGTGACTAGCTTGCCCACTTTTTTAATCTTCCAAAAGGCTGTAAAAATCATACTGCTCTTTGGACATTTCAGTTCAATGGAGCCACAAATACTATAATCTGGTTTTTAATGTTGTCTTTTACTGCTGAAGCTGAATTGTTTTAACTGAGTGTTGATTTTGTATTTTGTGAGCTACCCCAAATCTGTGACTGAGTTGAAGAAGCACACAAATGCTAGCCAACAAATAGATAAATTTCCCTAAACCTGAATCCAGCACTTTAAAAAAAAAAAACGGCAAATTTTCCCAAATAATAAAAAAGACTGAAATGGCTGTATGAAAAAATTATAATTGAAAGCACTTGTTTAATGGAAAACACTGTAGTCAAGTTCTAAAATAAAATTTGGAAATAGAAAAAGTTAAGGGAATGCCTTTTTATTCGATGAAAACAATTACCCTTAACCAGTGAGAATTGTAATGACAAACTGATTTTCAGCAAAAGAAATAGAGACCTAGATTCTACCTATTTTGTAACAATATCTGCTTTTTTAATACACATGTCAAATTTATATGAGACAACAAAACACCAAATTCCTTGTATTTTGCTGTTGGTCTTTTAGGCCAAGTTCTGAATATATACTTTATATACTGCAACATAGTCAATTAATAGTCTACAATACTCTTTAATGATTTCAAAATGTAGCAACTACGGTAATTTTACTGTTTGTAAAGCAATAATCTAAATTAAGATTAAAAATGACTAGCTTCTCAGAAAAGGTAATTTATAAAAGCAAACACTCGCCTCAATCAATAGATTTATTGTTCATTGGGGTATGACATCTATAGTCATCCCACAGTGAGACCTGTGTACAACTTCTTTAAGTAAGCAGCAGTCAACCAACATCAGAAATAGCTTTCAGGAGGTGGTCTAGGAACCAAATGTGCTTAAATTAATTTTAGCACAGGGAATTTCTAAAGTCTCCTTTAGAAATTATGCTTATTTATCCAAAGAAGTTTCACTGTGTTTAAATGAATCTTCCGTGTTACATATTTAAGAGCTTCCAATTATATGTATCTTACTTCAAGGATCTTTTATTATTTGTATTAAATTTCACTGATTACTACAAAAAGAATCCTATACTAAATTTACGTTTATCCTAGCTTTAACATGTATGTTTCAAAGCAAAAAAAAAAAAAAATGAACCAAGATTTGTAGACTGTGCATACAGGAATGTAGCTCCTACAACATTATAAGACAAGTGTTGGTTCTTGTTTTTAAGAACAGCAAGTATATCATTCACTAGCCATGGTGATCTCTTGTCTAGTAAACTCCAGGTAGGATTACTGCAATGCATTATTCATGAAGTTGGATCATGCAGAATTTTGAATGGTGTATCTTAATTATGTCTATTATATCAACTCATATGGTATTACATGGCTGATATTTGTTACTAAGAAAATTCAAACGTTAAAGGTTGAATTTCAGCATTAATTCTCTGAATAATTTGTTATCCAAATGTTACAAAGTGCTCCTACCCCTATTTTATCTTTCCCATTTATTATTTTGCAAAAAGACTCTTAAGAAATAAAATATACATTTATAAAACAGGTCAGTAGGACCATACTAGAAATCAATTAAACTGATTGTTTATGAATTCAATAATGAATGTTAAGTATATACAACTGGTTGTAGTTAAATTGACTATCTAAAACCAATTTCCTGCATACATTATAGGCTTAATTAATGCTCGCACTAGATCTTATATTTGAGGCTGATTTAACCTGTATTATTGTAATGCAGGTATTGATGAGTCAATACGAAAGACTTGCATCTACCTTTGTTTGTCTTTTGGCTGTATTGTTTAAATTATCTAAAACCAGTTGTATATACTTAATTTTTCCATATATGATTTCCCCACCTCATGCTTTCAAATAATTTCAAACCATTCAGTGTTTAAGTCCACACATTATGCTAAGCTAGTGTTTACTTTAACCATGATTGCTGAATCAGCTCCAATGGCTGAAAGAACTACACATCATGCTAAGTCATGCTAAAACACATTATATGTCTTAGTATGAAATGTGATCTAAGCCTTCACCTCTTCACTTCTCCAATCTGGTAAGAAATATGCTAAACAATGTTCAACTGGATCAACACTTTAAAAAGATGTTCAAATATAACATGCTTGATGCAGCTGTACACTTCCTTGGTACTATGCCTATACAAAATACAGAGTAAAAATCTTATGTCAGATGATTCTTATTTATACACTGGCTCTCAATTCAGAAAACAGCATGCCACTAGAGCATAACAGCAATCTGCTATGTCTGACAGTATTAGAAATGTGTTATTTCTTTTAAAAGTAATTTTGATTCAATAATTTTGCCTCGTCTTGTCCCGAAAATCTTGCCAAAGAGGATCTGAATGCTTATCAGAAGGATTGAGATCTAGTAATTGCATGAAGCAAGTTGCCTCTTACTAGTGAGTTTTTATAGGAGAGAGAGGACACTGGTTTAAAGTACGTTCAAGAAAAAAAAAGGCCTATTCACTATGAGGATTTATGGAGAGAAAACACTTTTAGAGGATTTCAATAGATCCAATGCACAAAACACACCTATTCTATGGAAGTAGGTCTGTTTCAGGGGACTTGGGGAACAACTAAGGAGTGAGAGGTAGCAATCTTGCACCCAGGCTTAACTGTCTTTTTTTCATTACAGTACTGTAAACAATTATTCCACCTTTCTCCAATTTCAATTCTATTTTTCACATTACTACAGACAATTCACACAATTGCACACTAAATGGAACACCATATCCCCCTCAAAGACAAATTGGTTAAGGAATTAAAAGGCTTTTAGCAAGTTAAATTAATGCCACAGAAAAGTTAAGAGTTTTTAACCAAGAGTACCATTCAACTACAGTATTTAATTACAGTCAGTGACTAGCAAGATAAAACACAGAATACATTAAAAAAAACTCAGCAGTAAATAAATCAGATGAGACCTAAAAAAATCTGTTTTTTAAAAAATTAAAAGTATGAAAATAATTTCTTATAATGTTCCCATTCTAAGATTTGAACATCTTACACCTACTTACAGAAATTACTGCAGATAAAAACTTAGCAGCTGGTAGGTTTACATGCTTATAGTTTGCAATACAGATAGTCCTTGATTTATAGCCATTCATTTAGCAATCCTTTATAGTTATAATTGACATTGAAAAAAATGATTTATGACTGATCTTGACATTTATGACCATTGCAGCATTCCCATGGTAATATGAGCAAAATCTGGATACTTAGCAAATGCATATATTTATGGCAGTTGTGGCATCCCAGAGTTATGCAATTTGTGGTCTTCCCAGCTGGCTTTTGAGCAGCTAAGTCAATGAAAGTGGCTGGATTTGTGTAAAGATTGTGTGATTCATTTAACAATTGTGGTAAAAAAATAATAATCTTAAAATTGGGTGTGACTCACAACTGCCTTGCGCAGCAACAGAAATTCTGGTCCCTATGGTGGTTGCTAATTGAGTGCTATCTGTATTAGATTGTAAGTGCAATAGAACTACAAGATGCACCCCTGTGGTCATAATTATATTTTTTTCATTGTCCCTTTTATACAGTATACATGCAGATATATCTTTACCTCCACCTAACAACCACCTTACCTATTAGCAAGGACAGGCAATTCAGCACATTTATTGATCTCTTCTCTCCAGAGCAATTCAAATTCCAACCCAACATCTGGTCCCTTGAGCCTTAAAATCAAAACTCACAAGTGTGCTTACACCAGGAAAACCGATGGATGGTCCTGCACCATCAGGGTCTGTGACAGACCCTCAAAATCGTCCAGCTTCAGGCCCTGGGTGGGTGGGTGAGGACCATTTCAGCAGATTCTCCCACCAACAAAATGACACCTGATGCACAAGATGTAAAGGGGGGGGGGGGCTACGCAGTCTTACCTCTGGATCTCCCCTCCTGTCCAAACGGGACATTAATTATTAAAGATCACAATAACCACCGACCATACTGGGCCGCCCACCTGTTAGCAACCCTCCGCCGCCCCTCAGCACCCTTCCTCACGCTCGTGCGTCTCGATTACCTGGTGACCCGCCTCCCCCCCCACCCCAAACACGGCCCCATTCCCACGGGGCTCGCCCAGCGGCGCCCGCGCCTTACCTTCATCCTCGAGCTCCAGTTTCTCCAGCATCCCTTCGGAAGCGGCCGGGGACTGAGGCTGCCCTGCCTGCAGGAGGGCGGGGAGGGAGACACAAGAGAGAGACGGCGGGATCAGCGGCATCCAGGCGCGGAACTCACCCGACCTGCCGTGGCATTCCCGGCAGGCGCCCACGCGAGGCGGGTTGAGGCGAGGAGGAGAGGGCTCGGTGGACTGGCGCTCCAGGAAGGGGAATGGGCGAGGGGAGGAGCCCAGGCATCACGGAGGAGGGAGCCAGGCGGCCTTCCCCGCCCCCGCCCCCCCCGCTCCATCCCCCCGGCCTTCCCAGGCTGGCTCAGTCTCCTCCGCCTCCCGCAGCAGCGGAGGCGCCTTCAAAGGATTGGTGGTTGGAACTTAACGGATCCCGAGTGAACGTTGGCGCATTTGAAATTCCACCTCGAGACACCCCCTCTCCTCCTCCCCTTCCTCTCCCCCGAGTGGAACATTCCAACCGGGCCCCGCTTGGTTTGCACCTTCGAGGGGTGGGTGGCGAAGGGCAGCTACCACCTAGCGCTTCAAAGGAGAGGAGGGGACACTACCTGATGCCATTTAAAAGCTCCGTTTTGCCTTCGCTTTACCACTGCTTTCAGAGCAGGCGGGAGGTTTCCCCCTAAAAAACTCACCTTTGCGGGGATGGGGGTAGAGGCCACTTTTCTTCTCCCTCTTCCCCTCCCTATCAGCTGACGATGGTATTGTCAAGGTGCCCATTCACCTGCCTGGAGGGAAGAGTCTTGCACGTTGCAAAACTGTCTATGGAAAGGGTCACGATGGAAAGGGCCTTAAATTTACTAGGATAATTCCATTATTTCTTGCAGGCCAGGATGTGCAAACAGATTGGTCAGTTGCTGGAACAGTATAGCAGAGGATATGTGGGTCCTATGACATAATTTCGGTAGCACCTGTTGCTTTGTAAGTGCCTGAGCTCCCAGGTTTAGTGATAAACCTCAATGGATGCATCTGCATAACGCTTGAAAACCAATGTCAACAGCCCAGTTTACAAACCAGGACAGTATGTATGCAGCCTTACCCATTATCTTCACCTTTAAAGCTATCCTATCTGTGTTGCAACAATCCAGATGCCCTTGGGGTTGGCAGCAAAGAATTTGATTTTTCCTTATGACTTTGAGGTCTGGATTGCCGCTTTAATCATTTTAGCTTCCTTTCTCATTTTCACTGTTTAGGAATAATAACTGATCCTTCAACATGTCCTTACTTAAAGCATATACATGTATCAGTTTTTAACCATCTAAACTAATAGATTCATAGACATTATTTTAGTTTTTAATACTTAATCTGCTTTTTTTCAGACTGATGCTCCCAGGGTGATTGACACATCATTAAAAATAATCCCTGATTTTAGATTCACCTGGTGCTCTACAACATTAGCTGCTTTCTAGGTATTTATATCCACTCATTATTATTTTTTCATTCTTCATGTAACAAAGATATGTTGCCTTATATTTACCCTTATTTATGGTATCCACTGTTTCCTTATATTTCTCCCTGCTAAATCACTGCCATATTCTAAGTACCTCTAACAATAAAGGGCTTCTAAAGTTGGGTATCTTTCTTGGTAATTAAGATTCTTGGTAATTAAGAACCCCTACAGTTCCCTTGGCAGAATTTTTTAAAAGTAGTTTGTCCTTGTCTATTTTTTCCCAATGGCTGAGAGAAAGGAACTGGCGTAAAGACATCCAGATGATAGCTTCAAGTCTAAGGCAGGATTAGAACCCATTGTCTCTAACCAGTTATCTTGACCAATACACCCAATTTGTTCAAACCTACAGTTTATAAATGCTGCATATTATTTACACATTATTCAATTTTGAATAGTCAATGAACTAACATAAAGAAAAGATCTTAACTTTAAGGAAAATCTACAGAGAAACAACCTCGTGATATAAAGAAAACAACATTGCATTTTAAATAAAACTTAAAATCATATAATTTATTTTAAAACCAAAAGCTACATCATTTTTTTTTGAAATCTATTAGTGCTATGTTTTCAGGCTTCAATGTTTTTCAAATCAGGTTTTGTATAAAATGGAATTAAGTGCTGAACAGCTTCTGAGGAAGCTGCACGATATGGTGTTGTTTGTGAGCTACTACACTTTCTTGGCAAAATCTGAGATTTTGCCCATATTTAATCCAAGCTGAATTAGCAGTTCTTTCTATATAGTCCTCCTAGTTATATTTCAAAACATGGGCCAAATATAGTTTGCTAGATAAGCTGTGCCTTGTTGGCTCATTGTTGCAGAGATATTTCTTGACCTGATTCTTCAAAGCTGTCAACAATGGCAGAGTTTCTAAAATACTGAGGAAAAGCTCTTAAAAATTTCTGGATGATAATCAGAGAAGTATCCACCTTGAAAGTAGCCCATGTTGAACTATATACCACAATCAAACATCAGTTGACCACAGGGTAGGTTTTATGACATTTTGTATGTCATAAAATGTTTATGATCATTTTTGTGTCATAAAATGTTCTATTAAGTTTGCCAAATTTCAGTTCCATAGGATTGATGGATCCCACATTTTGGATGCATTCTATAAGTTAGCCCATTTGAAGTAATGTTCAAAAATTTGCCCTATGATATAATAGTTCACCCTCTTAATGTTTGCAGATATGAAAGTTTTAGGAGTACGTAGATATTTCATACAAAGCATGCTTGTCCAGAATTTTAGCATCTATAATGAAAGAGATAACTTGTATGGTAATATAGTATCACAGCACTATACCACTTAATGTTCTGACAGGTAATATGCATAAAATGTGGATTCAATTATTTCACTGTGCTGTTGTTTTTCAACCTTGCCAAGTTTTAAAATGTGTGGACTTCAACTCTTGAAATTTCCAGCCAGCAGAAGGTTTAAAGTTGCCAATGCTGAAAAACAATGCACTAAGTCATCACTGTTTAGATTTGTGCAAAATACCCCAAATATGCACATTTACTAAGTAAGCTACACTGTGGCTTATCACAATGTATGAAAATGTTTTACTTATTTCAAAAAATTGTGCTTAATACTTTTATATCCTAAAAGTACCGATGACTAATTCTAAAACACATTAAGATATTAAAGCACTGCTCAAAATTATTAATACATCATAAATATCAAAAAGAAATTAATCTTATTTTAACCTGATTTCATCAGCCTACTGAGTTATATAAAACTCCCCCATTTCCAGATTCTCCATAAATATTTTCTCCTGTTCAGTTTTAACTTCTTCTACTTTATATGTGCCATTAAAACCAAGCAATTGTTGAAGATTTTTTTTAAAAAAACTTTTCTTTGCATACCAATAATTCTAAGAATTTTGATTCTAAAATTCAGAGCATTTGTTTTAAAGTTAAGTTTTATACAGATAGGCCTTATGGTTATTTATTTAATGAAATGAAGTTACAACGATGCTGAAAAAAGTAACTTACATTCAGTCTTCGTACTTAAAACCTAAAACATCCCTGCGACCACATGATCAAAATTTAGATGCTTGGCAACTGGTATGTATTTATAAAGATTTCAGCAGTGTCTTGGGTCATGTGATCACCATTTGTGACTTTCCCAGGGAGCTTCCAACGAAGTCAATAGGAAAAGCCAGATTCACAGTGACTGTGGCAAAAAAAGGATGTAAAATCAGCTGTGACTCATTTAATGACTACACCACTTCGTGATGGAAGCTCCAGTTCCAATTGTAGTCATAAGTCAAAATCTACCCATGCATTGACAATTTTCCATTATTAAAATGTCTCCCTTTTGCTTTATATGCAGAAGAATTTGTCTGATTCTATTTTCCCATCGTTGTTTTCATTGTTATTATTTTTATTATCTGTCTCTCTGTCATGTTTGAAAATGCAATCCTAAAATGATTCCTAACAAAATAGGTTTATGTGATGGCACTATGGGCACTTGAGTGGAATCAACACCAAAAGAGACAGACTTTCATTTGCACAGATCCTGGCCACTGCCTTGAGTTTGCAGAAAATCAGAACTGCAAACAAATCCAGATGAAAACCAATGGCAATCTTTATTTAAGCATCAGCACCAGTCCACTCAGTAATATTTACTTTGAAGTAATCTGTCTCCCTCCTGATACTTGATATTTTAGTTCCATTGTTCTTGCCAGCATGGAATTATCAGAATTATAATTTTTATAATCTAAAACATCTGGAGAATATTAGGCTGCATAGCCCCTCTGGCACTTTGATTCATGAAAAAACAGGATTGTTTTCCAGGCCATAACAAAATACCTTTAAAGATACAAGAAATCAGTTGATTGCCTGGTCTATCTTTTTTTTTTTCAAGAATGGAAGGGAAACCTATTTCTATTCACTTCATGTTATTTTTTTAGTTTCTTCATGCATATAACCAACAATCACTTTATGTAACTCCCATAACATTATAAACTGGCTTGTCAATAATGGCTTTGCAACAATAAAAACTAACCCCGGAAAAAGTGGGCTCTATTGCTAAAATGATTGTCCAGTTACACCTGTGTAATTTGTTCATTTTTAACAACATTAATTCACTGTGATTATATTATTTAACCAGATTCTTTTTAATTTTTCCTTACTGTTAGATGTAAGGAGGTCTATTTTCTGCAAGGCTTAAAGCCCCTGAACCTCAGTGGCAACATTTGTGTACTCAAAATCTGCTTCCTCTTTGCTCCTATGCTGTGGCAACTGACACCATGGCAGTTTACCAATCTCCTTGAATGCGGAACATAGCGTTTTCAAATAAGCCACCATGCAAAGAATACAAATCGTGAAGGATTCTTACCCATGTGATTTAAACTGCTTTAACTCAACTAGTCTCCAATTAAGAAAACACACCAAAATCTTAATTTTACTTATCAGAACTTAATCACAGCTGTTCAGATGCAGCCTTGCAATTCTGAAAGTTTCATGGATAGAAGAAGGAACTTAAAAGAGCTCTTTGGCCAATTTGGCCATTTTTATTTATAGGCACTGATTTTCAAATTGTTGCAATTGTTTGTCTTTCCTGTATAAGGCAAGGAGGGCACTTCTACCCTG